GAGCCTTCTACCAACATATTTCTTTGGGCTGTTGTTTTAATTTGACAAGTAGAACACAACGTAATGTAAGTTTTGGATGGAAATTTAGAGGAATGTGCTACTGGAAGGGATGTACTTATGCTTCTTCAGAGTTTGTGATTTACAGCTGACCACACTGTGCCCAGAGGTTGGGTAGTTTGTATCTGAGTTGTGGATCATGTTGGTTTCTAAATGGTTCCTAATGTTGGGACTCTTTCACATCTTAATTATTCAGGGTTAGTTTCACTTAGTAATTGCTGTGAGGTTAGTTTCTCTAAATGTCCTGCTTGTGCAAATCTGAGATGTTGCAGGACAAGGGGCACTGATGATAGCAAGTGATCCTCTCTCAGGATTATAACACCTGTCCTTCTGCAGATGAAACTTTGAACTAAGTGGTAAACTTTCAGTGATAGACCTTTTAGCTGGAGCGAATTGAGGCCTGTGAAACTCATTTCTTTCCCTCAAAGGCTGCTCTGACATCAGCAAAGGGCTGTCTGTGGATTCAGTTAATGCAGTCAAAACCATGTTTTTTTCAGTATAGCCTATTTGCTCCACATCTTCTTGCCAAGAACCATGAAATCCTCATAGACATGTCATCCTGTGGGTGTAGGTGCACCCATGGGAGTGACCTTCACTGATAGTCAGTGTCCAGACATGCATTTGATGGGTAGAGTAGGGGAGATATAGCATCATCTTCTCCCACAAAATGTACACCATCTGTGCAGTATGAGTTCCTAATCACACAGTGTGGCAGAGCTCTGGCAGCTGCCCAGTCCCTACTGCAGCTAACATCCAGGATCACATCACATCATCCCTGTCTGATATTGGCGCCCTGGAAAATCTGCCTGATGCAGAACCTGTTTGAGACCATGCTTGTGCCTGTGGTTTTATTGACCTAGGCACGCAAAGAGCTCATTGGAATGCAGATGTCGTTTATAAATTCTTTTCTTAGTGTTCCTGGACCTTATGAAAAATACCATACCAGTAAAGTTGTATTTTCTGCCAGTGCAATGATATCTGCACTCATGCTTTTGTCATTGTTGATATGGTGACTGCAGGGGATATATTGGATGATTTTTTTTTTTTTGTGGCCCCAATTGGTGTCTGTGTCATTCAATCTTAAGGTAAGACTAGACCTAAATTCTCTAAGTGATGTATTGTACACATTGTGCCATATGGACCTAAAATAGGATCATTCTTCTTTTCCCTAAGTGTGATAGAGTGAGCAAATCTATCTAAGCAGATACCTAGAAAGCAAATTTTGCAAAGACTCAATGCAATACAGTTTTAAGCAGTACAGATCTTACAGACTCTCTTGTTATTCTAACCCAATCTTGAATAAAATACCTTGATCATGTCTTGCAAATCATCTATATTTTTGCTGCTTTGATAATTTTTGATCTAAAATTCCAGGGCTGTGGAATAAGTGCCCATTGCTTGGATTTTAGCAGTAATGTTTACATCTCTGAGTAAAATCTGTACAATAACTCCTAAGTGCCCTGAGCTCACCAGCCCTTGCTGTGACTAGTGACAAATGAGTGTGGGAGGAATCTTTAATACAATAGCAGGTAAGATAATAAATGCTAGAGGAAAGCAGATAATGAGAAACAAGGAAAGATCCTTTTGGCTTGTGTCCTGGCACACCATCATATCTCTACCTAGGAGCTTATTTAATAGAATATTTCCAAAATGTCAACATACATCCTACGTACCTGATTTCGTTTACCGCTTCACTGCAAATGTAGAGCATGTTCATCAGAAGTCCTCTTAGGACTCAAACATAAAATAGCAACTTTGAGACATCACAGCTTGATGTGCAGTTGATTGGTAAAATACCATTCATCCTCACTGATACTTTGGTTATGTTCCAGTAGGCTTCGGGAGTAGCTCTTGGGCAGCTATGGGTTTCTCAGTTTTTCACTATTTTCCCCAGTGTCTTTAAAATTGATCCCTGCTGTAAGATATTAAAACAGTAGGAAACTGATTTCTACTTTAGGTTTCAAAGGAAGCAAGTTGAAGTCCAAAAATCCTTTAAAGCTAGGAGATTTTTAGATATAAATGCTGTTCAGACCTCTCTCTCCACAATTGAAATGACAGTGCACTGACCCACATTTCAATTGTACGCCCTGCCAGCTTCTTGAGCCATGGTGCTTATTAATGAAATACGCAAACATGGAAGTATCTCAGGTTTCCTTTTCCTTTTTTATCTTTTTCTTCCCCCCCACCCCCAACAAACCTGCAGTCATTAAGTGCCATCGTGAGAGAGGAAACAGCTTGTTGAAAAGAAAAGCTCTGATTTTTTTTATTTTTATTTTTACGAAGAATACCATCAGGAGCAGGCTATGATTAATACACATAATTGAAACAAATTGCAGCTAACTGCAGAAAACTGTCTCCCAGCTGTTGACAGAAGGAAATTGCTGACAGCCTTTTACCATTCAATGAAGAAGAGAGAGAGAGAGGGAGAAGGGAACCTTGCCCAACCCATGCAAATACATGGCCACAAGCATATACAAAAGCACTTCTGCAACCAATGTACATGTATGTCATTGTGCATGTATCTGCATGTGCAGATGTGTCACTTGTGCAGGTGCAAACTCAACTTTTGCATGCATTTATAACGATTGTACCTGTATGCACGTAGGATGCTTGCACGTCTGGGTGCCTGCTCTGCTGAACATACTGTGCCCACATGCAGTGCAACAGTAATGTCAATTTAATGAGAGCTGCCCTGGAGGCACCGTGTGCTTCACCAGAGAGAGAAGGCTCCAGCTGCGTGTGTGCTTGCACATGTGAAGTTGCGTATTCACAAATGAAACAACGGAGACTCTGTCTTCTACAGTGACCCCTTCCGCTTATCTTTAGCAGGATAAGGCAGGCTCATTTTTGGCTATTAAAATATCTTCCATCACTACCCTGATCTCCTGTCCTTTTCACCTTTTGTTTTTCATGCTCCCTATCCGTCATTAACAGCCTAAACAGAAAACGCTTAGATGCAGGAGATGAGTCTGAAACTAGGAGAGCCATCTTTGATTGAAATGCCATACAGATGGCTAATGGACGTCCATCAGAATTTTGCCTGGTTCAAAAAGTTGCTCTGGAGAGGAATCGAATGTCTATAGTTCATTTGGTTGCTGGCTCCTGCTAAAACAATCAGTGAGTTACATTTAATGTTTTGTGATACACATTTGTCATGTATGGAACGTTTATAAATTATCCATCCAGTGATGTGCTCCCACACAGCCACGTGGCTGTTTCAAAGCGGGCAGCCCATTGCACTGAGTGGGTCACAGGAATGCTAGTGAGTAGAAGGCAAAGTTAGAGACCTCCAGCAGACTGTTAGTAAGATCTAATAAATTGGTTGGCAAAATCTGCAGTGCGGTTGATGCTCTAATATCAATTGAATTGACCACTTTGTTGTTGTCATCTGTTGATTTCATAAGCTGGGCTTTTATGGTTCACTCTATATGGGCATTCTGACTTAGAAGCAAGCAGGAATATCAAGTATGAGTTATTTCCAATGTATCTGTCTTTAAAAGCTGATTGCTATGGTGTAATGCCAGTTGGTTAAAAAAAAAAAGTTCTTTCTGTTGTAATTCAGCTCATTGAAATAAGCAATGAAGTTGGTTTGTAATCACATGCATATTATAAGTGTTATAAAAATAACCTGCTTGAACTGGTCCCTAATCTGTTATTACCTCTCTCTCTGTGCTAGTGTTCAGTGTAAGCACATCAATATGAAACAGTTAGCAAACAAACATTCCTTTATCAGAGGTGTATGTTGATCCCGGTGGAGGCTTAACAGCTCACACAGGCAGATGCAGCAGTGGGGAAATAATTTATAAACTCAGATGTTACAGGTTATGGATTGTGTTTATGAGTTACTGATTCACAAAAGATGCAGCCAAGGGTGTGAAGGAGGGCTGTAGCCACTGACATTTGAAATTCAACCCAGGAAATGGTGCGTTCATCTCTAGCACTACCCAGGGAGCTTAGGAAGAGTCCGAGAACAGTTTAATGAAAAATGCAAATGCTGAAAGAATTTAAAATAATAGCAGGTGAGTGATGCTGGAAGGAAGGTAGCTGACTTAGACCGTTACGTAATAGCAAATCACTCTAAAGCAAGCTAGATTTTGAATTTACCTATTCAAAACCAAACTCATGTACACTTTTTAATTCTGATGGAAAGCAAGGTAACCTAGTGTATTCACTACCCTAGTCTGAGTTGTGAGCTGCCTTGTGTTTCCTGAAGGGCAAGGTGATGCATATGGGCAGCTGCCATGAAGTAGTTGATGGGAAGTATGCTACATGCTTGCCTGGTGCACAAAAACACAAGTGTCCAGGCTCTCAGTCAGGGTCACTCCTGAATGCGCTAAAGCCAAGTCTCCCACTGCTGTTATGTCATTCTTCCCCTTTACAATTCCCCCTGCAGCTAAGAAGGATTCTGTCCCAACTGCGTTTTAGTCCTCAGTGGTTATGGAATGTTGATGCAGAGCTGTAGACACAAGATACAGTCTGTTCTAGAGAGAGGTCTATCTATTGGTTGTAGGAATTTTGCTGTTTTATGGAGGTCTAAAAGCAAACACAGGTGGAGTCTGGAGGTTCATAAGCCTGCAGGGTTGCAACACCTTGAAGGATAAGCAGGACTGGCCACGTTGCCCGTGTCCTTCATCACAGCCTGTTCTGAGTGGTGCTTGCATGAATATCAGAAGTGGTACCTGTTGGACAGTTACAGTTACTGTCAAGGATCATTTCTGTCTTTTGGGGCTGAACAGCCTCAGTTCTGCCAGATGAAGCAATTTCAGCATATATGTATAATCCACACTAGAACCACCCAGAACTAAAGGTACTTTATGGAGTTGCTACAGTTCTTGTAGGAGCTTGAAAATGAATTCTTAATTTACCTTCACTGAGAAACAGAATCTTAGATACCATCAAGCTTGTTCTACTAGATGCTATGAAATACTGAGGTCAGCACTAACCTTTTTTTCTGCTGGTATCTCTGCAGCTTGAGAACTTTTTTTAACTTGCATTCATTGTGGAGGCCATTCAAGGAGACATTGCTGGTGAAGACTGTACCAACTCTGTCTTAAGGTTTATGCATCATGGTATGGTCAGGCCAAGCAGATCACAGAAGTTCAAAATCTAGTAACTCGTCTGTAGGACAAAGAAACAGGAAAGTAATTCTCCAAAAAAAATTTATAGACAGCAGCAGGAACAACTGTGATGTTCTCTGGGCTGCAGATGGTGAAGCTAAATGTTGTAAGTTGTCAGGTGACCGTACAAAAGCTTTCACTATTGGTTTATACTATGTGCAGTGAGTTCTCTTCCAACTTTGTCCTCCCAGACTAGTTAAGTTATGCAGTTTTCTTTTGTTCAGTCCGTTTGTGAGACTGAAGTATAGTTGCAAGTAAGAAGAAGTTGTGTAAAATTGGGAAAAATACTGGAGTTTCTTTACTTTTTTCAGTCCAGTTATCCCAGTGTAAGGAAGAAGCTGCATTTATATGTATATGTAGATATACAGACTCAAAGTGGGGATAGTGCTTAAATTTGTTACTAATAGGGAAGAGCCAAAGAGTGAGAAATAAAACAATCTTAAAAACACCTTCCCCCCATCCCTCATTCCTTCCATATTCTCCCTCCTCCCCCTCCCAGCGGTGCAGGGGGATGGGGAATGGGAGTTGTGGTCAGTTGTTGTTTCTGCTGCTGCTCAGGGAGAGAAGTCCTTCCCCTGCTCCCGTGGCATCCCTCCCACGGGAGACAGTCCTTGATGGACCTCTCCAGCATGACTCCATCCCTTGGGCAGCAGTTCTTCCCAAACTGCTGTCCTGTGGGTCACTCCTCCATGGGGTGCAGTCCTTCACGAATGCGCTGTACTGATGTGGGTCCCCCACAGGGGCCACAAGTCCTAGCCAGGAAAAATCTGCTCCAGTGTGGGCTTCCCTCTCCATGGGCTGCAGGTCTTCGGCAGGACCCCACTCCATCTTGGGCCTCCCACGGTGTCACAGCCTCCTTCATGCATCCACCTGCTCCAGCATGGGCTCCTCTAGGGACTGCAGGTGGGTCTCTGCACCCCGATGTTCCTCCATGGGCTGCAGGGGCACAGCTGCTCCACCATGGTCTGCACCACGGGCTGCAGGGCCTCAGCTCCGGTGCCTGGAGCACCTCCTGCCCCTCCTTCTGTACTGACCTTGGTGTTTACCTTGTTGTTTCCATGTTCTCACTCCGCTCTTCCCTGACTGGAATTCTTTCTGCCCCACAACCTTCTGTTCTTAAATATGTTACCCCAGAGGTTATTCCTGATTGGCTCGGCCTTGGCCAGCAGCAGGAAGTCCGTCCTGGAGCCGGCTGACATTGGTTCCACTGGACAGGGGAAGCTTCTAGCAGCTTCTAACAAAAGCCACCCCTGTAGCCCCACCCCCCCGCTACCAAAAGCCAGCCACAGAAACCCACTACAGGAAGTAACAAATTGGCAGAGTCAGTTTTCAGAAGTGTCTCGTATTTTAAAAATATAGTGATGCTATTCACCCAGCAGGGGCTTCAATGATCCTTCATGCTGGCCATGTACAATAATGTACAAGAGTTTGCCCTATGAGTCTTGACCAAAACTGCCATCCCCCTTCCCAAAACCTCTGACCAATTTTCAGTTAAAAAATTACAAAACCCCAGTGGTGGTGAGTTAATGGAGTTGTTAATGTGTGGGGAAAAGAGTGACAACACTTCAGTAAAACAGGAGTTGGAAAATATTTATTAAAATATACAAATACTCCTGGTGTTTAGCCTAAAATAAGAGTCTTTGCTATTAAAAAAGAAACCAAGTCCCAAACCCCAAAACCACAGAAATCAAGATCCTCCAGGGTGAACTCATCTCCAGGAAAATAATGGCAGCACCTTTTTGAACTGAAAGAGAAACACGGTTTCAGTGCTAGTTGTAGCACAAGGGCAGTGTCACATTTCCTGCAGAGAGATTTGGAAAGTAATTTTTATAGCAGTTGGACTTTGCTTGTAAGAGTAAGAATTACATCAGTTCTGACCTTCTAGCAACAGGCTTAGGAAAAATAACATGAACACAGATACCAGCATGATCGCTGTCTTACATCCAGCAGTATGCCTTCACTGATTGCCATAAAATTGCTCCTTATTTTTATCAAGGCCAGTGAGTTCAGAGTTTGGCTTATAGTACTGAAGAGTAGCTGGTTTGGCTGTTGTTTTTTATTGTTCTTCATTGATATCCAATCTTGATAACTTGTACAAGTCTTTAATAAGATTGTGCTACCCAGTAGCTTGAACTAATGAAAGCAGCTGGGCTCATTTTTGGTACTATCACAACAAGATATGAAAGTTATTTTGTTGATGATATGAAGTTACTAATTTTGAATGAACTGATAGAATAGCTGTTATCTGTTATTCCAAATAGCATAGATAATTTCAGAAATTTATGAAAACAGGTGAGCTGATAAGTAAAGATAATTGCCATATATACTAAGCATCAATTTTTATTGCATTGAAATAAATGCATATAATATGTATATATTGAAAGACCACATGGGAATAACTAAGAAAGAATTACAATTGCAGTATAATTTTTTCACTTAAATAGAAAAAACCTCCACCATAGCGAATATTTATTTTTATTTTTTTCATTATTTGTTGAGGTTTGAAGAGATTTGTACACTTCCTGTGATTAGCTGGAGTACTTTTGTGTAAATACCTTTTCTTTTCATTAGCACTGCTACCAGATAGAGATGGGAAACTGGAACTTTTATTGCACTGCTATTAAGCTTCTACCACTCTTTGACCTTAGATAACTTTCTGTACCTTTTAACCCACTCCTCTGTCAGTCTTGTCTGGGTTGCATGCAAAATCTTCAAAAGCATGCTTAGTTTTCAAGTGTCTAATCTCTTAGTTTACAAGTGTCTAGATTAATTAGATGCTGTGTCCAGATGACTTCTGTGGAGCTTCTGGCAAACTTCTATTCTGTGAACTTTCCTCAGTGTCATCTAGCTCCTATTTTGAGCATGCAAGGAATTATTAAAATCAAAGAGCATGTCCCTTTTAGTGTCTCTGCTATTGCAATGCCGTATTAGTAAAAACCCCAAAACATTGATAATGGTAGGCCATGTTCTTTTGCACATACAGGGAGACTACTGCACAAAAGATGGACGTCTACTTTTTCAAATTGGCATGTGAATCCTGTGTGCCTAGGATCTGCTCTTGAAATCTCATATATGTTAGTCTTGATCTTCAAGCATGCTGGTGGCATGTAACTATTGTAGAAAATCGTGATAGTGAAGAGACATTTCATAAAATGTAAGGTATATGGTTTGCCCAAGTCGGATGCTCAGGTGGCAGCAGAGCTGAGAACATGTAGATTTTCTCTGAGCCTTTCCTGGGCAGCAAATCCCTTGGACAGGTACCTAGACCATCCACTTTAGGTGTTTGTGCCTCCCAAGAGAAGCAGTCTCCTTCTTACTTGGAACTGGAGTTGCACTCTTCATGGGATGGTCCTCCTTATTTAGAATGGATTACTTGATAGGTTATATTATTTTTGATGTTTCTAGCTGAGGCACATTGTTTATTTTTTAGCAAATGTATTAATCTATGTTCTCTTAAGAGCTAGTTCCACAACAGCAGAAGTATAGGAGGACAGGCTGATACTTTTTGTCATCTCCTCTGCTCTGTGTGCTTTTGTTTTCTAGTAAGAAACTTAGCTCTTTCTATCAGCTTTGCATATATTTACTGAGATGTATTTATTTGTGCGTGGCCTTAATGTCATGATATACCTCACAAAAAGGTTCCCCGTTCTCTGTGCTTTCCTCTCTTATTTTACATGGGCCTTATTTTTGCACATAGCTTTGCTATGGCCAAACTGTAAAGACGGTAATAAAGCATGTGTGCATGACAAAATAAGGTGGACTGAAACACTTGTTTAGATGCTTTCTGTCATTTTTATGTGCATCACTCTCTTCCTTCTGATGTAGTGCTGTCTGTAACGATCTACAGTCTTCCTTCAGCTTTGTGTTTTCAGCATTGTGTTAATTGTGTGTGGTGTATGGGTTTTTCAGCAGCGTGCAGTGGGAAAGGTCAGCTGTCAGAAACAGGCCTGTCCACAACTGATAAGGCGTTCGAGAGATTGGATTTGACTCATTAAGCACCTTCCCTGTAGACATGGAGTCTGCTCTGCCGCAGAAAAAAAAACTAAATCAGGAAGGGAAAAAGCCCAGGATGAAGTTGGAGCATGCGCCAGAAACACTGGCACACCCTCCCTCTCGCCCCTGTGCGCAGTGCCGGAGTTTGCTATGCTTCTACCACGCTCACATCCTCACGCACCGTGGACATCTGTGCTTACGCCCTGAGATTGCGTGCATTCACTTCAGTACTAACACCTGGGCAAGACACACATGCATTCATTTTCTCTGTGTACATATGTGTGCATGTAAGTCCTTATGTGTGGGTGCTCTGAAGTTACATGAGGGCGATGCATTTCATTCCTACCCTCAGATGTGTAAATGATTTCACACTAATGGCCTGCTTCTTTTCATGCTTTAACAAAGGGCACATCTCCTCTTTATGTGTATATATTGTGTTTGTTCAGATGCACTTTACCTTACACAGAAACATGCTGTGCAACTGTCTTGCCTATGCTGCATATACACATCCACTGCCCTGGCTGCTGTACAGACATAGCAGGAGCCTAACCTGTTTCTCATTGCATACAAATGCACACATTTTTGCCCCTATATAATTACTGGTCAAAGCTACTCTACCAGCTTGTAACAGTCTCTCGCCTGTGGCTTTGTTTTGAGAAGAATTGTTCTGCCTCAAATTGGGTTTGGATATTGCTACTTCCATAAATGGTTTTAATGATATCTCACAACGAGCATAAATGAAGGGCAGCAGTAGTGTTTGGCAGTGTATTTTGTGATCCTGGCAGTACCGGGGTTCCGCACAAATACACTGTCCAGTAATACAGAAGCTGTGAGAAGCTGACATTACTGAGCCTCTGTGATACCAGTCTCATGCGCTGCTCTGCTCTCATCTCTCTTCCACCTCACTTTTGCTTTTCACCTTCTTTCGCATCTCCCCTTTCCCATGGGCATGGCTCTCAATACCGCTCGCTGGTATTGAAAAGGATAATTTTGTGGATCATTATTGTGTTATTACAGTGATTAGCAGTAACTATTTTTCTACTTCCACTTTCCTCTGGAAGGATGCCCAAGGGGCTCCCTGCTCAGCAGTAAGCGCGACGCTTGCTGGAAGGCTGCTGCCAGCACAGGCCTGTGGGTACGCAGCAGTGCACACGTTCACCTCTGGCAGTGCTGCCTCTCTCCCTCCTGCTCCTTTTTTGCGTTCTTACAGCAGTTCTCTAAAATACTGCTCTTCAATGGAAGCAGGAATTTCTCCTTCTATTGGGCTCCTTCTGTGAGCTTTTGTTCTGAATGCACTTTTCAACTTTCTCTCAGTGTTGGTGTAAATAATTTTTGTTCATTCCTGTG